ATAGACACAGAGAGAGAATACTTCTTAACTCCATCTGTGAGGTTAACATTACCCTAATAGTAAAGCCAGATAAAGGCATTACAAGAAAAGAAAACTACAAACCATTATGTCTCATGACATATAGATACAAAACCTCAATGACAAATTAGCAAAGTAAGTGGGTGGAAAAATTATACACCACAGTCAAGTGGGATTTACCTTAGTAATACAAGGCTGGTTTAACATTCAAAAACCAGTTAATGGAAACTATGATATCAGTTGAGTAAAAACAAAATCACTTAATCATACCAATGCAAAGCATTTGACAAAACCCAACACCATGATTAAATAAAAGAAGGTCAGGAAACTAAAAATAGAGAGACTTTCTCACTTTGACCAAGAATATGTAAAAAAACAAAAGAAATAAAAACCGATAGTTAACATTATACTTAATAGTGAAAAGCTTGAAACTATCCCCCAATATCAGGAACTCTTAAATGTTTCTGGGCATTTGGGGGAGATTTTGTATCACTGCTGTACTTCCCTTGACACAAAGCAAGACACCCAGAAGTCTGTGAAGTACATTCCATGCCATAGAAGATGTTTTTAAGAAACATCTTAACATGCATGTTTTTAAGAAAATGTGCCACAAACTATTAAGACTACATATGATGTTTTAAAAATATGACAAAAAGCTGTATTCAAATAGATTAATTCATTTACTAGACATTTATGGAGCCCTTATCATCTACCAGGGACTACACAAAATGCTAAGAACATAATGAAGGAAAAGGCACAGTGGCTCTTCCTGCATGTAGCTACATTCTGATTGGGAAATGAGAAAATTGATTAAGAGAAACAATATAATGAGATTTAGATTGGGGAAGTAACACAGGGATGGGGAAATATGAACTAACATAGAGGTCATAAAGCACATGGGTAGAAACTGTTGATTAAACAAAGATCAAGGAAGAGCAGAACAAAACCACTTCTCTATATTTGCAACTCTATTTTCCACAACTAAAGTTGATCCCTAAGTCTTTGGAACCATAGTTGCTACTGAGGCTTTAAAGCAATGACTTTGGGGTAGCCATGACCTGATTACTTTAAGAATTATAAAAACATCAATAGAAAATAGACATGATAGTTCAGTGGAGTTTCTGGCTTAACAAGTTGCCTCTTCTGAGACCCTTCCAGAAACTGGGGTTCTATACATGAGCAGAAAATTAACTAGAGATGGAATTTCTTTGGTTAATTTTTTTTTGTGTCAAATTTAGAAGATTATGAAGGGAATGACTGAGAGAAGAAGATGGGAAAAAACCAGTGGCATTGTATGGACTTGATTATAATTACAAATTTAAATTGTATACTAAGTGCAAAATAGGAACCTTTGAAAAGTTTTATGCAGAGAATGACCTGATTATATGTTGGATTAGAATATTAGTTCAGTTGCAATGTAAAGAATAAATCAGAATGGATTTAATGTGGGAAAATGGGTGAGTCCCAAAGTACCTGAGACTGCGTCTGTAATATGTTGTAAAGCATTTACTTGTGCAGGCTAGTTCCTGTAAAGAAGAATTTCCCACATGTGCTTTGAATGATTAATTCAACTAGTGGTGAATTCCCCGAACTAATACAATTTTATTTGAATAGCACACGGACTTGTTGTTGCTTATAGCAGGATCATTTTGAAGGTTGAACTTTTTGGTGTTAGTTTTACTTTTATTTCCACTGAGCAATAATGAAAGAACAGTTTTATCAAAAAGTTAACATAAGTCAGGTATACAGATTAGCAAGAAAGTTCCATGCACAATTTTATTTGAGTCTTACAACTCACCAGTGGTGCTGAAATTAGTATATTGAGTTTTCATATGAAGAAACTCTGGTAGAGGGCTACACAATTTATCAAAATCATAGGTGGCAAATAATGTTTAGAAACTAGTTTTAAAAAGAATACTAGGTCAATAAGTGTCATAATTTTACTCAAATTTCATTTGTGAGTTAGTCCCACACTGTTTATCAATATAAAATCTGCTTATCTTTTCTTTCTTATTTTTTTTTTTTTTGGAAATTAACTTTATTTTTGTGAGAAAAATACCTGAAACTAAGCCAATAAGACAGAATCTCATAGTTACGAAGACACTGCTTCATTTCATAGGTTTGTTTTGAACACATCTGTATTTACATGCTGTGCTAGTCTCTGGGGATAGAGAAGTACATTATGCATTAGATTATGAAACCCGAAATAAAATAAATTGTAAACCAATTAAGCCAATAAATCTTTATTAGAGCTACAGTGAAAGAATTACATGAATATAGCATATTTGGTTGATTTAATTCCCTAGTCCTTCCCCACACCCTCCTCTCACCCCTCTCAATCCTCTTCCTTTATTTGTCTCACTTCTATTTTTATGAGATCCTGTTTTTCCTTAACTCTTTTTCCCCTTTAGCTTCTATATAGAGATATTTAAATTTAAAAAGAATTATAAGGAGAAATCAACATATCAATAAAGTAGGAAAGATGGAAGGGATGAATTGTAACTTGTTATTTCGTCCTTTTTGGGACTCATCAGTACAGTGTAGCATATTTTGTTTTCAAAACTGAATAATAAATAAACCATTTTGAAATTAGGTATCCAGTAAATGAAGAGTTCAAGTAATTGTCTGTCGTTTGATTTTAAATTCAACCAAGATTTTCAATTCAAGGGTAAAATAAAATGACATTTGTTTTTAAATATAGTATAGCATTTATTTATTATGCCAATATGAACATTGAAAATTAAAGTGCAAAAAACACTTTGTCACTACTTGTAGTATTTTAGAATATATAATAAATATTAATTTTAGTACTTATTAAATTTTCATTTAGGGCTGGGGATATAGCTCAGTTGGTAGAGTGCTTGCCTTACATGCACAAGGCCCTGGGTTCAATCCCCAATCCACACACAAAAAAATAATAATTATAATAATGATTTATTATTAAGAAAATTTTGAATGGATTTAAGAAAATGTTAAAGGTCTCAAGCCAATTATAATTTTTTCATTGACTATTAAATAATTTGCATAATTTCAGTTGTCTACTCATTTTTATTGCCACATGCATTCAAAGCAAGTAGTGACTATATAAGAAAAGTTTAATATCAGTTCATAGAAGTAGAGTTCACTGATATTGATTATATTCCAGGTTCAAAATATAAGTTATGAACTCATACCAAAACACCTATCTAATTTAGAATCACACCCTTCCAAATCCCTGTACTATGACAGGGCAAGTATAATTTGCCACTTTGTTGTTGTCAATAAATTTGCGAATGCATGTTCCTAGTGCTAAGTAAAAACAAAAGTGGAGCAGCAACTGTATATAACGAGTTACAAAACATCCCTCCATCCTGCTTTATTTTAAAGAACTTGACATGATTTGGCACTTGTGGAAATAGCTGTTTGGCTTGCTACAAATCCATTTCCTATCTGTGTACTGCCTGGCACTGCTGATTCCATTATCATTCAGGTAGGCACATTCGCCATCTCCTCTGATGGAAAACCTAAAACCAGACACAAAAATATTAAATATTCATAGGTTGGACATCCACATTTGCTTCTCTACTATAATAGAGAAGCATCAACCCTCCATGTTTTTGAATGTGAACAAGAGAAATGTGTCAGTCATTGGTAGTTTACATTATTTCTGCATTTAGTTTCCTTTACATTCTCAGGGTCTTTGCTTGAGTAACACAAGTTTATCATTTATCTATTATCAAACCCACTTATGTTATTGATTAGGTATTTAACTGATGCTTGCCGCTGTCTCCAAACTTTTGTCACTGGTGGACTTCCCTGAAGTTTATTTATTTTTTTCGTCTTTTCTCCAATTGTTTCATAAATGGATGAAATTTTTAAAAAATAACTTAGAACTAAATTCCTAAGAGAATTTAATTTTTTTGATGAAAGTGATTGTGCCCCTATATTTTACCCATTCCAATGTAATGATTACTTTCAAAACACCACCATTGAAATGTTCATAGTTCAAACAACAAATTAAAGGAGGTAGGACTTCTTATTGTTTCAGAGGTTTCAGTCCATGGTCAGCTAGGTCTGTTGCGTTGGGCCTGATGTGAGGAAGAGCATCATGGTAGAAGGGCATGGCGGAGGTAAATTGCTCAGCTCATGACACTCAGGGAGCAGAGGCAGGCATAGTGGAAGGGGCCAAGAACTAGGTAGAGTCCCCAAGGGCACACCCCCAAGTGTGTGCCATATATACAACTTTGGGAAAGTCTCAGCCCAGGCCTGTCATTCCAGCACAGTGCTTTTAATGCCCACTTTTAATATTCAACACATGCCATTGTGGATGACAAATTATCTGATTACTGTATTTCTGATTAGAAGGAGAACAGTGTATCCAATGTTTCAGGTTAGTATGTCAGTGTATCTGCTTCCTCTAGCCATGTCCCACCTGCCTACAGTTACCAAGTATCCATTAAAATTATTAATCCTTCAAGTGGATTTATGCACTGATTTCCTTCTGATAATAAAACATTAGAAGATATTCCCCATGTTTCTCTGGAAACTTTGCTCTTACGAATGGATGCAGCAGTGGAAAGAGTGGACTTGAGAGTCTTACAGATATCAGTCCTTCGACACTGGCTTCCTAGGATTTTACAGCCCTCTCTGTTTATCAGCAAAGTTCTAAATCAGTGCGTGAGAAAGCAAGAACTATGTGGAATGCTGTCATCCTGCTAAAGATGTCAAGTGAAATCACAGTTAAGGATGTTCTTTCCAAAGAACAGGTACTCAATGGAAGAGCATAAAAAATTATCATTTTTAGGGAGTGTGGAATTTAATGGGGATTGAATCTAGGGCCTTGAGCATACTCAGCACACTGTCTACTGCTGAGTGCAGGATTCAAATTTCTTATCTGTTAGTACAATTCACTTTCCTTGTAAATACATTTCTCATCCCATTCACAAGTTACACACATAACCACACATGAATTCAATGGAAGAAAAAGAAATCTGAAAACTTACAAAGCTTTATATTCAGTGTTGTCTGTCCACCTCCAAACGTGATGTGATGATTCTCTGTTAAGGCCAATCCAATGATCAGAAAGCCCTTTATATCTTTTCAGAAAATTCTGTTATAAAACACAGAAAGTGAAAACATGTTTCTGTTTTTCAGAAAGATCTTGATTTTATCTTCTCTAGAGACTTCTATTTTAGAGGTGGCAGCATGATATAATTGAGAAACATAGACTTCCAAGTTAGACCAATCCTCAATTCTCAGTTAAGTCATCTAATATCTGTGATCCTATATTTCTTCATAAATGACCATATATTCAAATTTGGGAAAGTCACAGCCTATGGCTGTCATTCCAGCACAATGTTTTTAGTGCCCACCTTCAATATCCAACAATGTGTCAATGAAGATGACAAGTTATCTGGTTAGCATACTTCTGAGTAAAAGAACAGTATATCTAATCTTGCAGGTTAGTATATCAATGTATCTGAAATGACTTGCAGAGTTCCAGGCCAAGAATATGTCCTCAAGAAATGACATACACTAATATGTATCTCATGCCCCAAGTTCTGTCTGAGATGGGATCCTTTCTCATATTTCAGCTTTAACTTTATGCAGTCTAAACCACTCAGAGAGCAAAGAATTCTAAAGAAAAAAGTGATCCAAAAACGTTTCTTACCAGTTCCTCCTGGCTTTCAAACTGAGCAAGATTGGATGCTAAAGAAGCACAAAAAGTCTGGCTGAATGTCCAATTCCCTATGTCTTCAGAAAAATAAAAACACTTGTTTCCAAATCCAATCCAATCTTTTGGGCAGGTAGCAAACACAAGGTTCTGTACGATTGGCTCTGTCTTTTTTGCTAAAATTGAGACAACCAAAAGGAATGACAATAAGTCAACTTTTTCATTTCTTTTATTTACTTTTTTTCTGTTTACAATCCCATGGTCTATTTTGAAGTAAGCATATGGATTGTTGCTTTCCTGACTTATCATCAAGTCTTATCCCAAGTGTAATCATTATCTGTCCAGTGACCTTCAAGTTGGGAATCTGCTCCCATTTCTGGGGTCATCCTCCCTGCTTTTTAACAACAGAAAGAAAAATTCCTTCCTTGTCCTGGATTTTACTATTACGCATTTCTTCAGGGATGCAAAGCTTCCAGTACACAAAGTTTGACACTGTTCAAAATACTGTTTTTAATACCAAAAGTACAGTCTAGGATTTCCTAAATTTTCTGATTTTGTGTGTGTGTGTGTGTGTGTGTTCTGTTAAATGTATGTAAATGTGGTACGCCACCCATGAAGCTACTTGAGTGGTCTTTTACTTGGTACCAAGCCATGGGAGACCTACTTCTGCCCTTGGGAATAATCCTTGCATTCTAATGTGTAGACTTGAGATCTCTGCCCTCCCTCTACTAGTGGACTGCCTCTGGTAGCTCCAGAATTAGGCACAACCCATTGGGGCTGGACAGCCCACTTCATACCTTATTTGGCAGAAGAACGTTCTATGGAAAAAACCTTTGATGTTTACCCCATACAAATAAACCAAACTCGGGCTCTCAGCTCTTGCTCTGTCTTTTCCCAGTGTGGAAACTCTGCCCTTAATGTCAAGAAGCCATCCCACCCCCGCTTTCTAAAATTACTTTCTGTGTATTGTGGTTTTTTCCACCGCCTTCTTTTCTTAGCTTTATGCCCCAGCCAGCCCACTCCACACAGAGGAAACCCAAATTCCACTGCTTGTGCAGGTAAAAATATTTTGGCCATTGGCCATTGTTAGATGTCTTGAAACCAACAAGATTTCAGGGTACATCTTATTGGAAGAACAGATACTTTCATTCCATAGCTCTACCTTCTCCCTCCCTTAATGTCTAAAAATTATGCATTGCTTTTTGGAATGTTTAGTGAAAACAAAACAAAAAGAGGTCAGGTAAGAGCTATCAAATATCAAAACTTATTTTCTCTTAGATTTAATAGTAGGCAATTCTTTACAACTATTCTTAATTCTTATCCCTAGAATGAGTCACTAGTTAATAGGATAAAAGCAAATAGCTGTAAGATCAGTATCACTGATATATTTTAATATAACAATTATTTTCCAGAGACTGTTAAGTATTTTAGGTGACAATAAATAAAACTTTTGGCAAAACATTTATCTGACGTTTTTAGACTTGTGTATTATTAATTGAGCTATTTAAGGCTAATTTAATGAAATAATATGTTTTTTCATATTAAATAGTTTTATGAAATTTTTACTCCAATGATAGTCAATTCTCTTCTTATTTCTTCATATAAAATGTTTAATATATGTTTTTATTAACAAAAACTAAAATTATATGCTAACTGCTATTCCAATTAAATCTTGGGAGAGGGGTTAGTAGATTAAACAACTCTCATGTTCATAGAAAAAAATTTCATCAGAGGATTAGTTTTCTTAATGGAAAAGTCTCTGAGGTTTTATACATCATTTAATTTAATTAATATGGTGGGCAAATATCAGAATTAAGTACACTATATGCAGGTATTTAGAGAAGAATTAGTATACTTTTTTTGTCATATTCCCCAACTACTACATATTCATACTTTGAGCTATACATAATATTACATTATGGCAAATTATTGAGAGCAGAATATGAATTAAATCACAATTTTTTTAATATATAAATTACATTTTCTTTTGATAATTATCAAAATTTATATTAAATGGTTATTAAAGTTATAATTCTAAATAATCTGTAAAATTTATCTTAAGAAAGGCTTATCATATGATTTTTTTTTTTTTTGGTAGTGGGGATTGAACTCAGGGGCACTTGACCACTGAACCTCATCCCCAGCCCTATTTTGTATTTTATTTAGAGACAGGGTCTCACAGAGTTGCTTAGTGCCTTGCTGTTGTTGAGGCTGGCTTTGAACTCGCAATTCTCTTGTCTCAGCCTCCTGAGCCTCTGAGATTACAGGCATGCGCCACCTCACCCGGTAATTTATCATATGATTTTTAAAAAATGAAATTTCAATGTATATATACATATTAAGTGAATGAAAAATATTAAACATGAAGAAATAAACTTTTAAAAATACAAAGACATTCTCACATTATGATAAAATTCTAAAAGAGAAATACTTTTGAAAAAAACAAACCAACTAGACTTTTCTAAGATTAAGAAAGTTTTGGTTCATGTATTTTTTTATTATCAATTTTTAATTATTCACTAATACATTCATTCACTCATTCATTCATTCATTTTATGGTTGGGGAATCAATCCCAAGTCTTCACGTAAGCTAGACAATCACTCTACTACTGAGTTACACTCCCAGACCCATAGTTGATCTTTATACAAAAATAAATAAATAAATAGATAATGGTGTGTTTCAAATCATGACAAAATTTATATTCCAACAGATATATTTAAAAGGACAATATAAAGATGAATTTTAATACACCAACATTTACGATGTGCTAGAAGTTACATCATTTGCAACTATTTAAATATCTGATGAAAAATGTCAGGTAATATGTAGTTTTTCAAATTATTTTAGGTCATGTTTTAGAAGTTGTAGGATGGCTTGGGAGGCTGAGGCAGGAGGACTGTGAGTTGAAAGCCAGCCTTTGCAACTTATCAAGGCCCTAAGTAACTTATTGAGACCCTGTCTCTAAATAAAAATATTAAAAGGTCTGGGGATGTGGCTCAGTGGTTTAGACCTTAGTTCAATCTTCCCCACCAAAAAAAAAAAAAAAAAAGATAGTATAATAGTATAAGTTGTAGGAACAACAATAATTTGAAAAACAATTTATAAACCAAAATACACATATTTTCTTGTGTTAAATCATCTCTACCTGAGCAGTCCTTTAACATATCCTAAGCAAAGCTGGTGACCTATTGCCTGTATGTATAAAGGATGAATTTTTTAAATTAATTTTTTATTTGTTTTAATTAGGTACACATGACATTTGAATGCATTTATGCACTTTGATATATCATATATAGATGGGATATAATTTCTCATTTTTCTGGGTGTACATATTGTAGAATCACATTGGTCATGCAGTCACATACATACATAAAGTAATAATGTCTGTTCATTCTACTATTTTTCCTATCCCTCCCTTCCCCTCTCTTCACTTCCCTCTACCTAATCTAAGGTAACTCTATTTTTCTCTAGTGCCCCTCCCCGCTTATTGTGAATTAGCATCCTCATATTAAAGAAAACATTCAGTCTCTGGTTTTCTGGGATTGGCTTATTTTGCTCAGCATGATATTCAGACATTTGTAGTTCCCCTCACTTTCCTGTATTCTCAATCTGCTTAAGTATAAGATATAAATACTTAAGGTCAAAGGATATGCCTCTACCTGAGAATATTTCAAGTAGACACCTCACTTTTTTCTTTAAAGGAATGAAAAGTCTAATTGGGAAATTTCAGGAATTAGTCACATAAATGGAATTTATACACCCATATCTTTGCTCATATCAGTGAATTACAATTATGTTCTTTCTACAGCTCAAAAGAAAATGCTTAAAATTATTGTAGACCTTTCTTTTCCCAAGACTCTATATCCAATCTCATATGAAATACTGTTGGTTCAACCTCTAAAATATCTATGTTGCCCACACCTCCACTGTTATCATCAGGCCTAAGCCATCCTCTTTCAAGTTGATTTCTACAAGATTTTCCTGACAAGTCTTCCTGCTTTTATCCTGGTCCCCTAACAGTGTATTCTCAGTATGGAAGTCAATTATTCAGCCATTAAAGTTCAATGCTGCCACATCTCTCTTTCTGTTGCATTCAGAATAAAAGCCAGTTTTTAAATAGCTTGGAAGACTCCTGCTATCCATGGAGGATATATTCCAAGTCCCCAGTGGATGTCTGCAACTATGGATAATACTAAACCCTATATATACTAGGTTTTTTCTATACATACTTGCAACCACTGGTAAAGTTTGATCTTTTTACTTAAAATACAGCCTTTATGGCTTCTCTTAGGTATGTTCAAATTGCCAATATTACTATTTTTGTGCTTTGGGAGCATTATTAAGTAAAATAAGGATTAGTAGAACACAGATACCATGACAATCAATCTGATAATTTTCCACTTAATATTTTTGGAAAACAGTTGACCATGTGTAACTGAAACCACAGGTAATGGGGGGATGCTGTACCTATTATATTACTCTTCTCCATTCTTATTCAGCTTTATCTACAGCACACTCCCAAAGTCTTAGGGCTTCACTTTACATTTTTCTGTCTGGAAGAGTTCCACAGGAAACCATGATTTTTCCATTCCCTTCAAAATGTTGCTAAATAACTTCCCAAAGAAGATCACATTGCTACCCTACAAATATTACAACCTGTTTCACTCTTACCCTTACTTATTCTTACCTGTATCCACCTGCTAGAAATTAACTTTGAAGACAGCAGGGATTGTTTTTTGTGTGTTTTATTTACTGATATACCTCAAGCACTTTATACAGTGCCTGACACATAACAGAGCTCAAAATTAAATAAATATTTATTGGCAATATAAATGTGTACAAGATATTGCATAGTTTGGAGGAAAAGTAACTTACCTGACAAAATAATGGAAAGTGTAATGACACTTGCAATTAGGATTGAGATAATGAAAAAGCACAAATAAATTTTGATAGGAGTTACAGGATATATAACTGCTAGAAGTTTTCTTTGAAGACTTTTACCTGCAAAACATAAATACCAAATACAATCTCATGAAACTCTTAGGGAGGAAAAAAATTGATTAGCCACAGAATCAACTCCAAGTTTAGTTTGTACTCTCCTAGTGCAAGTCTCTTCTACAAAAGATCCTGTCCATCAATAATATCCAGAGGGCTAAAGACAAGGGAAATGGAACTTTTTCTCTATAGGATTTTTCAATTTTTGGAATAAGAGACAATGAAAGTGTAAGACAAATCAGGAAGAAGAAGAGACATATAAACAATCCAGATTTGCCTCCATAATAAATAACCTGGCTAGAAATACTAAGGGATACATTACAAGATAAATAAAAGTAATTCATCTTTTTTTCTATTTAAAAGGCTAGATTTATTTTTTTACAGAGAAGTGTTTTTTTTCACATGCCCTTTAAGTAAAACAACTTATTGCCTAATTTCTTCCTTTTTAATTTTTTTATCTGTTCTTTTTAGTTATACATGACAGTAGAATGTATTTTGACATATCCTATATACATGGAGTAGAACTTCCCATTGTTGTGGTTGTACATGATGTGGAGTTACAGCAATCATGAACATAGGAAAGTTATAGCAAATGCATTCTATTCTCTTTCCCATTTCTATCTCTCCTTCCTTCCCACCATTCCTCTCTGTACAATATGATGAATTTACACTCCCCACCATCATCTATTGTGAGTTATCTCTATATTAGAAAGAACATTTAGCCTTTGGTTTTTGAGGATTAACACAAGAATTCTCAGTTCAATCCATTTTTCCAGAAAATGGCATATTTTTATTCTTCTTTATGGCTGAGTAATATTCCATCGTATTAAATATACCATATTTTCTTTATCCATCCATCTGTTGAAGGACACCTAGGTTAGTTTCATACTTTAGCTATTGTGAATTGAGCTGCTCTGAATATTTATGTGTCCTCATCACTATAGTATGATGATTTTAAGTCCTTTGGATATATTCTAAAGAGTAGTGGTTCCATTCCAAGTTTTCTGAGGAATCTCCATATTACTTTCCAGAGTGGTTGCACCAGTTTGCAGTTTCACCAGGAATGTCTTTTTTCCCCACATCCTTGCCAACTTTTATTGTTACTCGTATTCTGGATAATTGCCATTTTGACTCGATGTAATGTAGCATTTTAACAGAATAAGAAAAGAGAGGACATAGGAGCATCCCAAGAAATGCACCAAAAACATGAGAAAATTTTTACTTTTTAAAATTTTTTTTAAAAAATTCAACAAAATATTTAATGAGCAAAATTGTCATAGCAAATATGAAACTGCCCCAGAGAGGAAGAGAGGGACAGGGGCCTGGGGATTGTGGGGGTGGGAGCCTCTTGGGGAAGGCCAAAGAGAACCAACTAAGAAACAAGGAAAACCAGAGCTGGGACCAGGGAGGAACAGAGGGAGGGGGCTGTGATCCTGCAAAGGGGAGAGGGCAGGGCACTAAGGGCCAGTCAACAAAATCCAAAATAATTTGGCCATGAAATATAAACACAGTGTGTTCCTACCATGGGGAGGAGAAAGGGGTCTAAGGTGGGGAGGCTATTTTGGGAGAGGCCCTGGGGGTCCTACTTGCCCTGCTGTGCACCCCTCTCCATCCCAACCCCCTCCCTCTGTGCTGTGTGGGTGCTTGTCTGTGTGGGCGCTTGTCTGTGTGGGCCTGTGTGCACTTCAGTCCCTTCCCTTCCCTAACCTCCCACCCCTCGACCCCCCACACTTAATTGCTGCCATTCCAGTTGCTGCTGGCTGTCAGGCTGTCATTTCCCTGTCACTTCTCTTCCCATCATCTTCAGAGGGGGGGAAGGGAAGACAGGTGGGGAAAGAAGCCTCCAACCAGCCCTGCCTCCACCCTCCCCAGGCCACCTCTACCATAAGTCTAGCTGGTGGTAAGAGTTGCGGTCGCAGTATTTTATGACAACTATTTTATGACGCTATTGGTGAATTTGAGAAGGTCCTGCATAGATTTCTGGTAGTCATACAGAGGTGAACTCCACAAGGATCTTGCTGTAGTCAGGCACCTGGATACCATCTGTATCCAGGTGGACTTGAGGAGCTGTACTTGCTGTACTCATCCTGCAGGTCCCCCACGACCTCCTGTACTCCTCTATGGCCAGGCGCGCCTCTGTACTCCTCGTTGGCCAGGCGCACCATGTTCATGAGGCACAGGACCTCAGTAGGGTGGCCTCCCATCTGCACCTGGGAGCTCATCAGGCCCCGCACCTGCAGCACCATGGGTGTCTGGTTGATGGTGCTCATCATGGCCCTCTGCAAGAGCAGCATTTTTTCCCTGCAGCTGTATCCCATTCAGCCTGGTCTGTGACGATGACCTCAAGGAATCGAGCAAAATGCTATTAGATGTAATAAATGAAATTTATTACATTGTATCCAAAACTGTAGGATACAATGCTAATCTTTAAAAATCATTTCAATTTTCATATATTAGCAATTTTCAAATGCAAATTAAAATACAAAATCAGTACCATTTGTAGTGACACCAGTTAAGATAAAATACTTAATTGTAAGCCTATCAAAATATGTTCATAATCAGTATAATAAAAACTATATTAAAAAATAATAAACAGCTCAAAGAAGATCTAAATCAATAAAGAAATAAAAGATGTTCATAGATTGGAATATTCAACTCATGGATGGAATATTCAAACTATTTCCAAACAGGTTTATAAATCCAGTGTAATTCCAGGAAACACTTCAGCATGATTTACTTTATTTTTCGTAGAAATCAAGAAGGTCACTTTTTAATTATGTGAAAAGGTAAAAGAACTAATAGCCAAATTATTTTGAAAAAAAGATCAAATTTGCAGAAATCAGAGTTCTAGATTTCATGACTTACAAAGTAACAACAATAAAGACAATATCATAGTGGTAAATAAACACATAAAATATGCTTGATGTTAAGACTTTTGAGAAATGCTTGATGAAAGACTTTTGAGAATCACCATATGATTCTCAGAGTGGCAAACAAAACTAAACAAAGTCACAACAGCAAGTGTTGGTGAAGAACAGATGCAAATCATTTCATCTCCAAAGAAACCAGGGAGCCTCAGTTTAAACCATTCACAAGGACAAAGATACGTAGGATTAGCTGATTTTAAGCACAGTGTTATGTCGTTTGGATTTTAGGTTGACATAAAAATCTCAACATTCATTATTTTTAGTTCTATAGTAAAAGTATCTTAACAACTCAGTGCATCCTAATTTTCATATATTTTTCATTGTCATTAAGATAGAATAAAAATCCCTTGAATTTCCATAAAGCTCCAACTTGCCCCTCTGACTAGTCTTCTAAAAGTTCCTCCTTTCTCTTCTCCTTTTCCTTATAATATTTCTCTTCTTGCTTTTTTTACTTACTTTTTTGACATTAAAAAAACCTCAAGCATATACAAAAAGAAAAAAAATAATAAGTGCCTAAGTATCTATTACCTTTTCAACAATTTTCAAAATTATCAACATATAAGCAATCTTGTTTCATATGCATTTCTTATTCATCCCATCATCCCCCCCACACACATAGTCCTTGAATTAATTTAAAGCAACTCATTCAAATTTGAAAAGAATGGAGTTGATTATGACTGCTGGGTTTTGCATTGTGTTTAAATATTCTCTCCAACTCCAAGAAAGTAATACTGGCTCTTAATTTTTTTTTTCTAGCTGGTCCCTGTATGATCCATTTTCTTTGGTTGTAATCTAAAGAGTTTAAAGTCTATTATTTTAAAATACAAAACTTCCATGATATTACACATATTTTCAAAGTCTTGCAGTGTTTATCTTCCTGGGCCTGACATTTCACATAAAATAATGTTTTCTAGGTTCCTCTATGTTGTCACCAATTACATTATTTCATCCTTTTTGTTAGTGTATAGTAACCCATTGTGTATATGTCACATTTTCTTTAACGGTTCATCCCTTGATGTATGTTTAAGCTGATTCCATATCTGGGCTATTGTGAATAATGCTGCAATAACTTTGAAATGCTCATGTCTCTTTCCAGAGACTGGGGAGAGTGGTGGGAAGAAGATGGAAAATGTACAGTGTTACAGATAGGAGGAAGAACTGCTGGTGTTCAATGGCATAGCAGAGGGGAGGGATATAGTTAACAAAAACACAGTATATTTCTCAATAGCTAGAAGAGAGAACTTTTAATATATTCATCACAAAGAACACAAAAGTTTAAAGTGATGGGTATGCTAACTGTTCTGACTTTATTATTACAAATGTATACAAGAATCAAACAACATATTGTACCTTATAAGTGCATATTATTATTATGGATCAATCAAAAAGCTAAAAGTCAAAAAGCTGGAGACTTTGAGGGTAATGCTAAAAAACAGGTACCTAAAATGTCTTCTACCAGATATTTCAAATATCCAATAGGACTCAACACTAGAACTTTCTTACATATTACTAACAGCTGGAAAGATACTTATTTATAATACTTGGCATTTATTCCATTTGATGTTCATATTTGACATTGAATTTTTACTTTTAATTAATGCATAGTAATTGTACATATTTATTTTTCTTTTACCTTCCTTATACTGTGTACTTTTCTTATCTCTTTCCAAGAGATACTTTGTCCTGATAACCTTCAAATTCTTAGTTAGAAAACAGAATAGAATTTATCTCTCAGAGGAAAAAAAAATAAACCATATTTCTGGTTTAATTTAAACTTTATAGTTTTATGATCCAAACAACTTACTTAGCTTATAAAAGCAGTTAAGTTTTAGTAATGGGGAAATTACAAATTAGTAGCAATTTTGTAACATTTGTATTTAGAAACATAAGTTTCACATTTGAAATAGTTAATACTGGTCAATATTTGACCAATTTGATGTTTGATGAAATACTTAGTTCTACTTATGGAAACACTTATGGGCTTAGCTGATAAACATTAATATTCCTCAAGAATTTTCTTTTTTGTTAAGTTTGAATCCACCTCATTTTCCAGGAAATCCAAAATCCTGTGCACTCAAACAAAAGAAGAAAATAAACTAATAAACTAACAGGGGTGAAGGAAATACATATGTTTAGTTCATTTTCTTCTTTTAGAAAAACAGGTATTTCACTTCATTTTTTGCTAGGTTCACTTCCCTTTTTCTGGACTGCAATAGAAGTATCCATTATGTTGTTCTTCTTTCTCATATAACATCTCATATATTTTACTATAAAGTGAAAATGACAAAGGATTTGCTGGTGGAACAGTTCAGATTCCCTCCCTCACCCTGAAATCCCTACATTTCTCTTTAATTACAAAGGATAAGCAAACTTAATGTCCCAGCTTTCGCAGGGTAGATTGTCTTGGTAAGTGTATTACAGTCATTGGCATTGGAGTCTGCCATCACCCTGGGATATAAAGAGCATATTACTGAAAGTCACAGTGTGACTTGACAGTGTGTAAATTGCCAGAGACATAGGCAAAAGCGAGTACCAGAGGTCTGAACACAAGGAACAGTTTCCTCCTCCTCTTGTAATCAACTTCACTCTTCATTTATCTTGCTTCAGAAATATTTAAGTAACATATACCATGATACACTAACTAATATAACAATTCTATATCTATCCTCCCACCCACCCTGTCCCCCCTGCAACATATCACCTTCTATGGAGTCTGTAAAGTACTAACATGCCTGAAGTTCAGCTCCCTTTGTGATTTGGAGGCTGGAGAGTAAAAATATCCCCTTTAGTATTTTTCAAATGTCATCTTTTACTTTACCAGGTCCTGCTTTCTCCAGGCCATCCGTGAATCTAAGGTCTGTTTTTAACATTTCCACTGAAGCCTCTGCAGCTGTCATCTTGGTGCTCAGACAGGGGAGGAGATCTCTAGTGATCTCTTGGTGAAGACTGTATGCTGGTGGAGCACAGCTGCTCAGAGCAGGAACTGAAGAGCATTGTGAAACCTAAAGCCCGCCCTGGGAGGAACTTTGAAACTATTTATTCAAGCAAATTATCAGAATAATTTACTCACAAGTTTCTGGCTCTGAGAGAAGGAACATTTCAAAAGAGAAGAACTAGGGAACCAAATTAAGAGGAACATAATCAAAATAAGTTAAACTGATGAATGCTTTAAGATTTTAAAATGCTTTTTTAACTTTTCTAAAATGTTTTTTTTTTAATTTTTATTTATTTATTTATTTTAACTTCAGAGACCTCTCTCCTTCCAAGATGAAATAAAAAGGGCCAGTTTCAATCTTCTGAAATCAGCTTTTAGAGAAAGGATAAAATGTATCTAAATATCCTTTCAAGCTCAGGTATCATGCAATCAAGGAAGTGATCCTCAGACACAGGGGGAATAGGTAAGCCTAAGGTGTCCAAGTCACTCATCCTGACCTTTTTTTTGGTCCACACTCCTGCTACAGGCCTCTGCCCTCTGGGCTGAGCCTGCCAGTATCACCAGCACTCCGTGGTGGGTTTGCTTTTGGTTTCCATATTTTTGTGTTTCATGTCTCTGGATGAGGAGAAAACCCTGGAAACTGGAAAACAGGAAGGCAAGGCTTTGTAGGCTGGCCAAGGACACTTAACCCTCCTCTGTCTGGCAGTTCCTGTTCCTAGATCTGCTGGACTCCCTAACCCTGTGATGAGGAATGGTGGGGGGACACCCCTGTCCCAATTTGGGGGCAGACCCTGGGGAATCAGGGAAACCAAGCAGAGGCTTGGATCCAGGCCAGATTTCTGAACTGGGAGCAGAGAAAGATGTGTATGTGGAGCACAAGGGATTACGTTTTAGACTGTGAAGCTATTCATTTAAAGGAGGAAATTTTTATTTTAGCTTAGGTTTTCAGAGGTTTCAGTCTGTGGTCACTTACCCCCATGTCTGTGGGCCTTTGATGAAGCCAGACTGCTGGTAGAGCACAGCTACTCACCTTGAGACTGAGAGAGAGAGCCACCAATGGTCATCTCTTCTGTGGTTTTACCCATTTCTTAATAGCATTAACTGATCACTGATTCAATGAGATCAGAGCCCTCATGATCCAATCACTTCCTGGACTCTGAAAATTGCTGCACTGGGGACAATTTGACACAGGAGCCTATCTATATCCAAATTGTAACACTACTCTAAAATAAAGCCTATTACACTTTTAAAAAAGAAAGAAAAGCAGATGTCTTTCAGTGAGTTGTTTTCAGCCCAGTGACATAGGAACCTCTAATCATCTTCCACTTTGTAGTTTGCTGCTGCTTATAAATAGAAAGGACAGATGTCCTCTGCCATGGGATACAGTCAGATTACAATTTCATTCGGTGGCAATGCACTGGTTTCTGTCACATTTCAGAAGTAGCACCTCAATGACTTGCTGTAATTTTTTATTCTCTTGGGAGGTAAAGGAAAGTAAATATGATGTTAAAAACTAAATTTATTAGTTTATTCCCTATGAAATATTTTACTATTTATATGTATGTATAATATCAATTTTATCCAATAGTTGAACTCATTAGCTATTTGGAACATAGAATTTTGTCCCCGTTTTTCATTTTAAAAAATGGTATTTAGCTATTCGTTCCTCTCCTGATTGTTTTTGGAAATAGGAAAGATACTTTTCATTATTTAATACATATAAATATACCTGTTTAATTATTGCATATTAGGGATTTTTCACTTTTTTGAGTAAGAATTTTTTTTCAGAAATAAGAAAACTCATACATTTCTCTGTAAAAATAATGAAATTGTATAGGTATACCTAGTATAGCATGTCTTTTATAAAGAAAAGTGTCTATGGGAACTGAATTTGAGTGCATAACAATAATTTAAAAGCAACCTTTTTTGTTTTGTCTTTTTTGAAACTCCAAAAGACTGGCATAAAGGATCTGACTGCAGGCTTTGCATGTTGACTACACTTCTCAGGAACATCATCAGGGAAGGCAGTTTTAATCAATGCCTATTTTATATATTCAGAAAAAAATTTATTTCATGGGCATAGCAATATTAATTCCTGGAGCTGCATTCAGAATTCTCTTGTCCTCAGAAGAAAGGCAACGTTCTACCTCATGTATTATAATCTTTTGCTTATAAGGAGGAGGGTACATAAATGAGCATGTGATCACAGATTTTTTTATGACAGACCCACAAAATGTAAATAGATTTTGAGTGAAATAATTATTTGAAAAGGTTGTGGAAGCTGGCTCAAATATGCTTTATTTCTTATGATCTAATCAAGTAAACAAATTGCAAACATATGTGTGAAAGGTGATATATAAAGTGCTAGATGGTGAAATTAATAAAAAGGCCTACAAAAGAGTACATAAAAACTAAAATTTCTTTCATTGAATGAAAAAACATTTCTGGGATTTTATTGACCTGCCTATATAGTAACATATCCAGAGTTACTGTGATAATTAGAGCCTCATCAGGGGCTGGAGTTGTGGCTCAGTGGTAGCAGCTCAGTGGTAGCATGCTTGTCTAGCATGTGTGAGGCACTGGGTTCGAATGTCAGCACCACATTAAGGAAAATGAACAAATAAAATAAAGGTATTAAGTCCATTTAAAAAAAGATCCTATCATAGAAATAACAACTTATTTATCTCTTTTTTTTGCCTTAGAGTGATATAGTTTGAAGTATAATTGTGGACCACTGGCAACCCATAAAACTATATTACCAGTTAAAGATGAGTTAAATACAGAATTGAAAGTAACTATAAATAACAAGTTGACATTTTCATGATGTCCAAGCCTGTGGACTCACTTTACTGAACATGATATGAACTAACACAATACTATTTTAGTCAGTGGTGGATCACTATCGGCATGAGTTTCACATGAGGCATGAACAGCAGGCCATACTAAAAAGTGTGATGCTACATTCCATCTTTTAATTTTTTTTTTAAATTCCTGACATTACAGCACTAAACTGAAATGTGTTAATAGTCCACTCTTACATTTCCATGACAAACAGAAAAATTCATGAGCCAAAAAAAAAAAAAAGGAGAAGCTTATAAAACTAAATATACATCTCAGCATTGATGGCAGAACAAAGAATTAAAATGCTTTAATTTAAAAAGCATAAGTGAATGATAAAGTGTGTAGAAACTGAAAATTTACAAATTATTTACAACCTGGAATCGTTGACACAGATGGATCACGGTGAACAACAGAAAGGGATTATGGATGAATCTGCATTGTTCTAGCAGTTCCTCATGCCACTCATCTCCAAGGAAAGCCTGACATTGTTTAGATACTGAGCCAAGATAATGCTGGCAGCAGATCCAGGGATGGTAACTTGCCTATCAGTAGATCCTTCCACGGGGTTTGCAATTTTGATCTGCGCCCCATACATCTGATGGATCTCACCTTGATGCCCGATTATGCAGCTGATCAAGTTGTTTGGAATGGTGAGTTCATGAGAAGTAGTCTGAGCAGATGCATACAAACCTGCCCATAGTCTTTCACCTCAGAGAGCTGGATCCAATGCCACTGAATCCGGTGTTGTCATGCGTCATAGGAAAATGAGACTGTTGCACTGCCAACTAGTGCAGCTTGGCCAAATCTGGCTGTGGAATACACCATCCTTGAATAATATAAGCCTGATCACCAGCAAAGATGATGGGAGAATTTAAGGGCTTGGGCCAATAGAAGACGGCCACGTTCTTTGGGGCGGGGACAGGGAGAGAATCTCCAATGTGACATTGCAGATCTGTTTTGACACACTCAATAATGGATTGAGGAATACCAGCAGTAGAGATGGCCGGTTCAGATGAATTGAGGAGCATATCCCCTGCCACCTGGACTTGAGTCCCTGTACACTCTCATAATTTCCTTAATCTTTTCCCATGAGAGAGCCAAACTGACTTGCAGGGCCTCAGAGTGATAGGGGTTCAACTGTCAGCTGTGCTGTTGGTCATAGAGCTGTTGATGTCTTCTTCTGGTTTATCCATGATCATAGCAAGGGCTGTGAAGATGGTATTAGTGGGTCCAGCCAAAGTGATAATTCTCCCAGGACAATTCCCTTCTGAGATGTTGATATGGGCACCACTCTCCTCATGCATCTTCTTAACTGATTCTGCTTTCTTTCCCATGAGACTGCCAGCTTCCTTTCCATGCATAAGTAGCCCAATGGTGAGAGTGACATTGAATCCACCTTCAATCACAACGGTGAGCAGCATTATGGAGAGCTGGATTTTGAGTGGTCAAGTCTTTGGTCACTGGTGGGGGTGAAAGCCAAAAACTGCAGATGAGAGACCACTGCGGGGGGAAAGAGGGGAGCTGGCCAGAAAGGAAGGCTGGAGGCCAGGAGAGGAACAATTAGAGTGAGCAGGAAGGCACAGGGGACCCACCAACAGGGGAGGGTAGAAAAGGAAGGGTGGGGTGGAGCAGAAAGGGAGGAAAGAGGCCCAGGTGGGGGAAGGCAGGAGGGAGATTGGGCAGGAGGGAGAGGGCACAGGCTGAGGCTGCTCAGGCCACCGCCTCTGCTGGTCTCTCATTTTCTTAAGACAGTAAAAATTAATTATAAAATTTAAAAGATAATTTGTTGTAAGTTGTAATTAATAAGTTATTAAAGTCAAAATTTGAAAATACAGTATTATTTCAAATTACTTTTAATAAGATTTAAAGATAAATAATCTTAGCTTGTTGAAATTATCTTAAAGCATCTTGTTTTAGTCTCGTGGAGATATATATATATATATATATATATATATATATATATATATATATTTGAAATTGGTTCCTCTATTATGAGTGGCATTGAAATGAAACAAATACCATTGCAGAGGAGAGTGACTATAGTTAATAATAATAATGAATTAAATGTTTCAGAAAACTAGCTAAGAATTTTCACCACAAAAGTTGATGAGATAAACATGTTGAAGCTGATTTAAACATTTAATATGGTATCTACATATCAAAATATCACATAGTACAAATTAATATGTACAGTTTTTAGTTCTTAATTTAAAATAAATAATTTAAAAGTTTTTAAAATTTAAAAAGAAAC